CTCGCACGGTGCCGCGCCATTGCGTTTACGTATGCTACCAAAGCAGCATTTATTGAAAACACAATTTCCGTGTAATGTTATAAGTACTACAATTGCTTTCGTGCTAAACCTCCAGCCTTTCTGTTGAAGGCACTTTCCAATTCCCCCCTCGGCTCTCACCCCCCGGGGTGGCAGGACTAGGTGTGAGCATGCAGGCGATGCCGGGGGCTCTGTCCGAGTGGTGGGAGGGGGCTGTCCTCTCCAGTTCCAGGACTGGCTCTTTACAGGCTCCGGCGCAGCACTGCAAAGCATTTCTTGGGTAAAAGGTGCTCCTAAAAACCATTAAGCTAACACACATCATTTGTTTGCAGATCATCTGGTGGAAGTGGGCAGCGTTGGTGATGGATCCACGGGCAGCAGGGTCCCAGACCCGGTGGAAACCTGTGGTTTCTGCTTCCCTGGACACGGCTCTGCTGTACCAGAGACCAAATCATGCCACAGCACCTCCTACCACATAGGGGAAAGAGCTGCTCCCTCTCACACCGGGATATGCAGCATGGGAAGCGCCGGGGCCATTCCCAGCCCTGACGATGGCCACTTCAAAATCATATGTTCTCCTTCACAAGAGAAGACGCCCATGGCGTGACCACAGTGAATGTTCCTGCACAGGATCAGAAAGGAGGGATGCTCCCTCTGCCCCTAAACCACAGCTGCTTCACCCTCCGTTTCCAGTGACTGTAACAGCTTCTACCAGGACCGGCGGACCTGGCACAGTCTTTTCCCAAGGGCTGTAGGCTACAGGCAGTGCTGTAGGTTACAGACAGGGCTGTTTTCTTCCACTCAGGAAACGAAATTCTCATTATTCCTGTGCACTCCCAGTGACAGAAGTCGCTTCCCATTTAGCAGTGTCTTCATCCTTCAATTTGACCTCTGCAGGCTCCTCCATGCATCCCAGTCATTGGGAGTGATGTCTCCTTGGGGCTTTTCATCCTGGTTCTACCATCAGCATCACTTTATCCCTGCCAAGGGTGTTGATACGGAGCCAGGATCAGACTGTGGCATCCTCCGGTCCCCATGGAGAGCACACCTTTCCCTGCTTGAAAACTCTGCCGTGTAACTCAAGCGATTTACAAGAAGAGCTGTAAGCATCTCAGACACGGACTCAGACCCAAGAAGCTACTCGTGAAAGTTACAATGACCACTGAATGCCACTGCCATGCTCTCAAGAACGGTGTGTTTTGTGACTCGAACAGAAGTTTCTTTAGAGGACAGAATATTTGGTAAGACACAAGGTGGATATCTCCACTGCCAGCTTTCAACGGTGCTTGGGAGGGGAGGACAGGTCATGGGTGACGGCGAGGCTTTGCCTTGTGACAGGACACGATGGTGCATGGGAGGAGCTGGGACAGGCACCAAAATCCCCGACGGAATTGGGCTTCAATGTGAAAACTCACCCAAGGCTGAGAACTTTCAAAAAGACTGGATTTATGTACTGCTGGTCTGGGTTACTCAAAATAGCGGGTAAAAGCGATGAACCAGCTAGAGATACAGCTGCTTTGAGGGAAGATTTTTATCTGACCTGGCTTTGAAAGCGACTATGGAAAAACATGGGTTTCAACATGTAACTTGAAGTTCTCATTTTCACTAAAGGAGAGCGTAGGAGTTTTTTGCTTGGTGAGAAGTCACTCCTGGTAGGAGCTCATCTCCTCCACTTTCTCAAATTAGAGCTTCAAACTTGGAAGAATAACCATAAGTCAATATATGCACAAAGTGGTGCTGGGAAAGTAGACAGCCGGGGAAAGCCTGAGCAGAGAGTTATAATGGACTCTGTCCTCTCCATGTTATGTATTTCTCTAAACGTTGATGTTTTCTTATCACTAAAGAAGGTGGGGGGTCACCATAACAAAGTCAGTGCCATGAGTGATGTCCGGTCACAAAACAGAGCGGTGTTAGGACCACATGAAACCCATCAGAACCAGAAAGTGCAGGAGGTGGATTAAGGTGAGGACTAAGAGCCCTTGCGTTGGTCCGGCAGCTGGTACGTGGGGCAAAGTTTGCTGTCTTCAGCTGCTCCAGGAACCAACCTGGCAATTCTCCATCTCCTTATCCTTGCGTCTTGCCTTTCATCTCTTCCCTCTGTTTAGGAAAGTCCTTACCCCACAGTAGCACAAGAGATGAGCTTTGTATTGTATTTGCATCCGAGGGGGGGGAAAAATAAGCCTTTTCAAAACCGAAATCTCGTTTTACTCGGATGGGTCTCCTAAACACAATGGGTGAGCCCTGAAGGCCACCACCCCACGGTGTGATGGGGAGAGCAAGGGCTTACCCACGTGCGCAGAGAACAAAATGCAGACCCCAGCCACGAACAAGCTGCTGGCAGGACACGGAGACAGCAGCAACCTCCGCTGGCTGGGCCTCCCCCAGGCCTCTACCCGCTGAGCCTCTCACGCTCTTGCCACCTCCCACCCTCCCTCGGCACCCACAGTCCATGGGCCTCTTACCCTCCGCAGCTCCTCTACCTCCCACTACCTCAACCTGAAGACCCTCTTGGCCTCCCACTGCCTCTTGGCACCTCCTCTAACATAGCCACCTGCCCCAGGACCTCCAACTCCATAGCATCATCTTCCACGGCCTTGACTCCTGCTTCCCTCCTGTGGAATCTGCTCCAATGCCCTCTGATCTCACGGTGTCAGTTCCCGTGGCCTTTGGTTCTGTGGCCCCCCACCCCATGGCCTCGGCTCCCATGACCTCTGACACCATGGTCAAAACTACCGTGACATCATTAGCATCCCAGTTCCACTAAACCTCCAAAAGTCACAGGCACAGAAGCCACCTTTGCCTCCCACCCTTGCTCAGCCTCCACTCCCCCTTGGCCTCAACTCCTGTTCGGCCTCCTGCCCCTTTTTGGCCTCCACTCCTCCTCGGCCTCCCACCCCGATTTTGGTCTCAACTCCTCCTTGGCCTCCCACCCCCTTTTTGTCCTAACTTGGCCTCCCATCCCCTTTTCGGCCTCCCACCCTGTTTTGGCCTCAACATCTCCTCAGCCTCCCACCCCTCCTGGTCTCCCACCCCCTTTTTGGCCTCAACTCCTCCTCGGACTCCCACCCTCTTTTTGGACTCCGCTCCCCCTCAGCCTCTCACCCCTTTCTGGCCTCATTAGCATCCCAGTTCCACTAAACCTCCAAAAGTCACAGGCACAGAAGCCACCTTTGCCTCCCACCCTTGCTCAGCCTCCACTCCCCCTTGGCCTCAACTCCTGCTCGGCCTCCTGCCCCTTTTTGGCCTCCACTCCTCCTCGGCCTCCCACCCCGATTTTGGCCTCAACTCCTCCTTGGCCTCCCACCCCCTTTTTGTCCTCCCACCTGGATCAGCCTCAACTCCTGCTCAGCCTCGCATCCCTTTTCAGCCTCCCACTCCTGCTCAGCCTCAACTCCTCCTCGTCCTCCCACTCCTGCTCAGCCTCAACTCCTCCTTGGCCTCTCACCCTCTTTTCAGCCTCCCATCTGGTTCCGCCTCGCATCAATGCCTCAACTCCTGTTCGGCCTCCTGCCCCTTTTTGGCCTCCACTCCTCCTCGGCCTCCCACCCCGATTTTGGTCTCAACTCCTCCTTGGCCTCCCACCCCCTTTTTGTCCTAAACTCCCCCTTGGCCTCCCATCCTCTTTTTGGCCTCCAATCCCCCTCGGCCTCCCATCCTCTTTTTGGACTCCACTCCACCTTGGCCTCCCACCCGCCTTTTGGCCTCCACTCTTCCTTGACCTCCCACCCTATTTTGTCCTCAACTCCTCCTTGGCCTCCCACCCTCTTTTTGGCCTCCACTCCTCCTCCACCTCCCATTGTCCTTTTGGCCTCAACTCCTCCTCGGCCTCCCACTCCTGTTCAGCCTCCCACCCTCTTTTTGACCTCAACTCCTCCTCGGCCTCCCACCCCTGATCGGCCTCTACTCCTCCTCAGCCTCCCATCCTCTTTTTGGCCTCCACTCCTCCTCGGCCTCTCACCCCCTTTTTGGTCTCACTACTCCTCACCCTCCCACCCCCCTTTTTGGCCTCTACTCCCCCTAGGCCTCCCACCCTTGCTCTGCCTCAACTCCTCCTCGGCCTCCCGTCTCCCTTGGCCTCCACTCCTTCTTGGGCTGCCACCCCCTTTTTGGCCTCAATTACTCCTCGGACTCCCAACATGTTTTTGGCTTACACTGACCCTTGGCCTCCCACCTTCATTTTGGCCTCAACTCCTCATCAGCCTCCCACCCCTTTTTGGCCTCCACTCCTCCTTGGCCTCCCACCCGCTCGACCTCCCACCCCTGCTTGGTCTCAACTCTTCCTCGGCCTCCCACCCTCTTTCTGGCCTCCTCCTCCTCGGCCTCCCACTCTCTTTTGCTTCTCATGCCCTTTTCAGCCTCAACTCTTCCTTGGTCTCGCATCCTGTTCAGACTCCCTTCCCCCTCTCCCTACCAGCCCTGCTCAGCCTTAATTAGTCCGCAGCCTCCCACCCCCTTTTCAGCCCTAACTACTCCTCCGCCTCCCCCTCTGTTTTTGGCCTTCCTCCCTCTTGGCCTCCCCTCCCTGCTGAGCCTCAACTTCTCTTCAGCCCCCACCTTCACCCAGACCAACCTCTGCCTCCGCTTCCCCCAGTCTCGGTTTCCATTCCAGCTCACCCTCACTCTTCCTTGGCCTCCCACCATTTTTTACCATCTGCTCTTGCTCTGCCTTTCACCACCTGAGAATCTCCTCTTCCTTTCCTGCTCAGCCTCCGCTCCTGCTCATCCTCACACCCCTCTTCTGCCTCCCCCAGCCCGTTGCCCTGCCCCTACGCTCTGTCAGGCTCCTGTTTGTGCTTGCCCTTGCAAAGCCTCTTGGACTCCCCCTCATCCTCCACTCCTGCTCCCTCTACGGTTTCCTACACCCTTACGTCCTCCACTCCCGCCTCACCTCCCCACCAGTCTGACCTCCCACACCACCTCCTGGCCTCCCCAGCACCCAAAGTCCTGCCTCTCTTCCTCCTCTTGGTTTCCCCTCCCCGCAGTCTCAGCCTCAGCGGAGTGAAGGGGTTCTGCACTTACCCCGCAGCAGCACCAGCGCGTCCCCCCGGCACCCGTGCCCCCCTCTTCCCGAGCGCTTCTCTGCGAGGACAGGGCTCCAGGAGACAGAAACCCCTCGTGAGCCGACGTGGCTCCTCGTGACGGAGCTCCCGCGGGCAGCACTGGGGACGTGAGGCCGTTCGAGTGTCACCTCCAGGGACAGGCGCTTGTCACCCGCGGGAACACCCGGCCACGCTACTTGTGTGAGGAGATTCAGAACCTTATTTAAAAATAGGACAGAAATGACATGTGCCGCCAGCTTTGCAATCAGGGCATCTGTGAAGGATCAAGAAGCATCAATTATTCAAACGAGAAAGCTTTTAGGGCAGCGTTTACGCCAGCTCACACCAGAGCTCACAAGCGGCAGCTCCTGCTCCAGCTGGCCCAGGCGACCGCTTGCCTTCACGCACCCAGGCAGAGCCTGGGCTGGGGCTGTCCCTCCCGTCACCACATGGCCTGGTGTCCCAAAAACTGGGGAAAAAGCTCATCAGAAGCCAAGTCCTTCCCTCCAGCCCCGATACGCATTCCTCATCCTCACAGACGCGCCCTCCTCAGAATATAACACATAAA